GGGGGGGGGGGGATATGTGCATTCAATTGTCACAATTCAGTACTTGAGCTGTGGGTCTCTTAGAAACAGCCTCTCTACTTCCAAATTGGGGTATGGTCTATGTACGCTCACTCCCCCACACCCTACTTTTTGTGAGATTCAACTAGATTTGTTGTTGTAACTGTCACAGTTTAATAGTGATGGATTTGATTTTTTCTCAATTCTTTGTGCTGGTTTAGATTCCACGGTGCTCGCTTATGTCTTGTCTGAGCTGAATCGAAGGCATAACTACGGACTTGATCTATTCTTATTGTCTGTGGATGAAGGCATTACTGGATACAGAGATGATTCCCTTGAAACTGTCAAAAGAAACGAAATCCAGGTGTGCATATGACATACCTAGCACGAGATTGTTATTTTAAAACTTCAATCTTGAAACTTAAGGAGGTGAACTTTTTCTTATTCGGTCTCATTTTATTTTTATGGTAGTCAGTTAATATTGTTATGGATCTTTTTTTTTGCTGCTAGTATGGACTTGCATTGAAAGTTGTTTCCTACAAGGATTTGTACGGATGGACAATGGATGAAATAGTAAAGCTAATAGGCCTGAAGAACAACTGCACTTTTTGTGGTGTTTTTCGTCGTCAGGTAAAAACAAAACTCTTTACGTAGTTCGCGATTGCAAATTGTACGGAGTATTGAACTTCATTATATCTCCATTAAACCCATCTACCCATTCAACCCACAAGTGCAAGTGCAACCCCATCTACCCATTCAACCCTCAACAACACAACATCAGAACCAAAATCAAACCAACCAACAACAATTACTTCAGCCTCATGTACAATCACATGCACAAGTTTTACCGCATTCTTACCCACCCCCTCTCAGTCAGCCACCTCAGACCTACCCAGTGCAGCCACATCCACAAGGACTGCAACACGTGCAGGTCCCTCCTTACCAACAGCCTTCTGCACAAATGCCTAATGCACAGCCTCCTCTGGCCTTACCACATCAAAATTCACACCTTCAACCACAACCTAGTGTGCACCCTCCTCAACCTAGTGTGCACTACAGAGTATTCAAACATGAAACCCATGTTTGGCTGAATGATGAAAAAAGTAGAAAATTTTAGGTTGTACCTTTAGTATTTATTTTGTAGTGTGCATTCTTTGTAACTATACATAGTCTGAAATCATCAATATATAACCCTATGCCATCGTGGAGTTTACCCTCTGGCTGTTATCTCGAAACTCCGAAGAGTTCTTGTTCGCTGTGCTTCATCATAATTTTTATTTCTTCATTTCGTCTTCACCTTGATTTCTGTGTGAGTGGGGAGAAATCCTAATACTTAGATATTAATTTCTTGAATTAATTTAAAAGTATTTTTTTAGAAAATAATTCAACATATTCAGTGCTACAATTATACAGGTTCACCCAGTCGGCTCACTTCAGGTCTAATCACAACGGCTTAGGCCATGAAAGGCTAATATGCCCTTATTTAATTTTTCATATTTACTTCATTAAAAAGATTTTGAGAGTGTAAAAATGGAAAAGTGATAGGCCCTCTTTACTTAGGTTGCAACTCTTAAGTTTTACTCCCTCCGTCCAAGAATAATCTTCCTACTCTACCCTTTTTCTCGTCCGAAAAAATCTTTCTATTCTACCTTTTCATCCCAATTCTTCCTAAACTACCCCTCTTGTTAAATCTCATTTTCCTTTTTGCTTTCTCTCCCCTTTTTCTCGGCCAAAGCCCCCATATCTCTACCTCTCTTCCCCAACTCCCCTATTCTTCTCCTCCTCCTCTGCCGATTCTCCTTCTCCTCCTCTGCCGATTCTTCTTCTCCTCCTCTTCCGATTCTTCTTCTTCAATTCTTTTTTTTCTCATCCTCGTCTTCTTTCTCCCCCCACACCCTCTTCTTTTCATACGCCTTCTTTTCTTTCTCCCCCCTCTTCTTCTTCTTTTTCTTTTATATCTCTGCTAGATCTATGAGGCTGAGGTGACAGTGAAAGGACTACATGGCGATGATAGACTAAACATCGGTGGTGGGAGCTGAGTTGGCGGTAGATCTACGGTAGATCTAAGATCTGTGTTAGATCTGTGCTTAATCTTCTTCTCATCTTTCTCCGCCTTCTTTTTTCTCTTTCTCCTTAGAGATGGTGATGGTGGTGGGTGGGGACGATTGTGTGACTGATGGTGATGAGGGGGCTATCGGCTGTCGGGGGTGGAGGCGGTGATGATGGGGCTATCGGCGGTCGAGGGCGGAGGCGGTGATGATGGGGCTATCGGCGGTCGGGGGCGGAGGCGGTGATGATGGGGCTGTCGGCGGTCGGGGGTGGACG